GGCCTACGATAGGGTAGATTGGGATATCCTTGATTGCATTCAAACTAAATGGGCTTTGGTTCTACCTGGAGAAAACGGATCTCTGAATGCATAACAAATCCCTCAATCTCATACTGGGCTGATCTCATACTGATCCCTCAATGCATAATGGTTCTACCTGGTGAAAATGTTTTTTACTCTATTACTGCACTGATCTCATACTGGGCCATCTCCATCCCCATCTTGGCCACCATGCAGATTTCTCACTTCCTTAACAATTGGGACAGCCTTTTACACCTAGCAGCCCAAACGAACAGACCTAGGCCTCCCCCCCCCAAAAGGTTTCCTCAAACTCAACATAGACATGTCCTCCTTAGGTAACCCAGGTCCCTTGGGCATTGAAGGAACTTTAGCGGGACCTTCTTCTATCATTATGACCTTCTTAGAGTTCATTGATCACTAGGACTCTACCTACATTGAATCTATGGCCCTTTTGGTAGGTCTTAACAAGGTGCTTGTATTAGCACCGGAAGCTCTAGGGATTTTGGTGGAGTAAGATTCAATTAACATTGTTAGATGGGCTACACAAGAGCAACAGCCTCCCTGGAGGCCATTTTCCATTTTTGATAACATCTACTACCTTTGCAATCTTCTTCCTCAGATTTCCTTCTCTCACATTCTTAAAGAGGTAAATGTCGAGGCATATCGATTGTGCCTAAGGAAGGAGTTTCACTCAGCCCATCTACTTAGCAAGAACCCTAATTTTCTCACCCACCTCTATCTCTATCTCTCCTTCAATTCCCCTTTCTCTCTCCCCCAAGATTTTTTACCTATTCTTTTGTTTAAAAAAAAAAAGGGGAAAAAAAAAGGATAGAAAGCTCAAATTCAAAGGGACCGTAGGGGGCAAAAGTCTCAACTCATTTTGAGCCCCCGGGCCCTCATTTGACCTCGCCAAAGCAAACCACCATCGGTAGGCAATCGCAAACACACCTGGAGAAAGGCTGACCTCCATCTTGCTACCACTTTTTACATCAGCCAGCACTTAACCTCTGGACTGTCCTCAATGCTTAGCGACCAAACTCAGGTACGCATTACTGCAACCCTGACCTCTCTTCCCCTCACCTATTTCTTCTATCCTCAATCCCCCATTAAATCACCTGCCTTTCATATACCAAACCTTTGACCATGCACCACTGTTTCTGCTCACTCACAACCCATCTCCCTCTCTCACCACTTTCTCTCTCTAACCTACTTCTCTAAGACCTCGCCTGCTCCACTTTCTTTCTTCCCCTAAATTCATCGTCGCTCCCCTCCAAAACCTCTCCCCTCATACGCCCTCTCTTCTCACTCTCCTCTGCTCTTTTGTTTCCATTCCTCCAATTTTTAGCTCTCTGTACTCGCACTCATTTCCTGGAGTCTCCTCTCAACTCCAGGGAAAGGAAAAAGGATAAACTAGGCAGAGCTCATCTGCCTTGGGAATCAGGAAGGAGTTTGGTTTAGCGGATTCAATGAGAATGGACGGAAACCCCTTCCATCTTGTCAACATTCCCGATAAAATCCCAACACTAATCACATTCTCACCCATCGTCCTCTCACCCTCTAGAACCTTTAACTCTTCACGCTTGGCTCCCTGTATCTCTTCACCCTTGGGCTCCCTGTATCTCTTTGCATAGTACAACAAGGTTTTTTGCACAGTATGCTGCCAAGTGCTCGCACCAGCTCTTTCACCTGCTAGCAGAGGCCACTAACGGATTGTCTTAAGCATGCCGACGATGATCTTTTGACATGGCCTGCTCTCGCTATATGAGGTCCATGCCACACGCTTCAAGGCCCTCTGCTCCAGCCTCCGCGCCAAGGTTTTGTACCTTTTGAGCTTATGTAGTGCTCTGCCCAACCTTTTTAATGTAAATTTCCCCTTCACTCTTCTCTATTCTTTCTTCTCTTCTCTTCCTATCTCTACTTATGTTGTCTGAACACCCAACATGTGGGACTGCTGTCTTTAGGATTAGATAGAAATGTAAGTTTTTACCTTATTAATACAGTCAACCTAATTCAAAAAAAAACCATGGACAACAAGCGTTCAGTCACAAGTGCTTCACCATATTTGGGAGATGTTAACTAAATGATCAAGGTCTTTAGCTTCAACTAATCTTGAGTCCACATTAATTACATTAGTTATCTCTGCCCCTAATACAAGTTTAATTAATAGGAGCCTATTACCTGCTCACTTGACATTAGCTATTTTATCTTTTAAATTTTTGTCTACCATTATAGCAACATAGTTTCTATTATTATCCTTTCGTATCTACCAAAGTTTATACCCATCTATTTCCTTAGCTTTTCCACCTTTCCACTTAGTTTCCTGTCAACAAGCTATGTTTACTCTCCTTCATCTTATTGTATCCACTAACTCCATACTCTTACCTGTAAGCGTTCTTACATTCCATGTGGCGAGACGAATCCTATTCTCTTGGATTAGCTTCGCTTCCCTCCACCTATCTATCGGCAAGGCTTGGATGCCATAAGGCTCCCTTACTTCACTGAACCGATTGACGAAGGTCCAAACCAGCTGGCTCATTCTTCCTTTTCGAGATCTCGGCTCATCACCATTACCATCAAGAAAACCAGTAGAAAGAGCCTCACGATGGCCAGATCTGGGAGATCCATTGCCACTGCCAAGGAGATCAGATCTGCCATGTATAAGGTCTATTTCTTTTTCTACGTTGTTTACCTTAATTACTGGGCGGTGGGGAAGACCTATGTGGGGCACCTTTTTGGTTTGGGATGCTTGTTTAACCTTTGTATTCCTCTCGCTCCTTATTTACCTGAGTGCACTGTGTTTTCAAAAGCCTACTGTCGAACCGGCTCCTATTTCAATCCGTGCTAGACCGATCGATACACCAATAACAAAATAGCCCGTAAACTGGTGGAATACATCGCATCAACCTGGGAGCCTTAGCCGATCTGGTTGGGCAAAGACTTTTATACATACCTCTTTTGGTTGATCCACACCATATTGTATTCTCATAAGATGATACACACTAGGTAATAATCCTCCTGGTGCTACATCTTCTTTATCCGCGCTCGTCCAAAGTGTCACTGGAACCCTTGCCTATTTTTCACCGCAACCGGGCGGTGCTGCAGTGCATCACTTCTAGGGAACACCCTAGCTAACCCTTGCTCATTTCCCACTATACCTAGGTTACAGTACAACACATCACTTACGGGGAACACCCAGATAATCACTCGTTATGCAATTGACTCATGCTGATGCCTAACAGGATCAATCTTTCAAATGAATCATGCTTATGCAAGCTAGTGTTGAGAAATGGCAAATATTTGATATGGCTCATGCTGATGACCATTTGTTATGCAATTGACTCATGCTTTAATGCAAGGCTCATGTGAAACCTATGATTAATCAGTAGACTATGATCTAATATAAAGCCCATGCCACAAGTTTATTAATCGATCATCATAATGCTCATCAGGATCTTTCAAAGATGCTTGTAATATTGCCCGGCTTTCACATAATGCGACATTGAATTGGCGACTGTGAGTTGGTAACTCATGCACTTCAATATTGCCATCACCAACTCAGAAGTATTGGGTCAACGATCTAACAGATAGACAAGAACATTGCATGTTGCATTATCTGTAAATTGGATAAAGTTTCTCTAACGACCATGGCATGGTAGTTAAGTACACAACTCACTTCCCCATGAAAGCCTTATACTTGTTCCGGAAGTCAGCACACAATGTTTTACACCAATTTAGTTATGAAAGTTAGCAATTCCACAATCAAGCTGTTACATAACCACCCCTTGACATATCAGCATTAACTGCTCCAACAACAAGCAACCATCTCCGTCAAGAAAAATCTAAATCTGTGCAAGAGACGAACAGAGTCCAATAGGGAAATACACAGAAGCAGAGAGAGCTAAAGGATTATACAGTGGACAATAAGTCAAACTGTCAGAGACGTGCACAGAAGAGAAACATAGAGAGACAGTGATAGCTAGAGAGTGATTCCCGCTTACAGTGAGAACAATTGACAACTATAAAGAGATACATATAAATTATCTTGCAAATTAAAGCTTACATGTGGTTATCTAAGAACAGGGAAGTCAACAAGCAGTAGCTGAAAATCAGAAGAGCCAATGATATCCACATATGAAGCAAGGTACAAAGGTATGATATCCCGAGAGCTAAAATTTGTACTCTTAACTTGTATTTCTTCTTTGAGAGCTATATTCTTCATCTCGTATGCATAACTGATTAAACAAAGGTAATCCATTTAAATTTTTTTTGGTGTAAAACAAACAAGGTATCTATGGGTGCCTTGTGACTGTAATCCTAGACTCTAAATAAAAATTCCTTCATCGGAAAAACGCTTTAGTTGCTCAATGTGTGCATCTTTGCCTTATTCATTTTTTCTCTTTGGATCACATTTTGAGCAAACAATGATCATCCATTGGATTTGTGTTTCTCATTGTGGATGAGGGGTTCACATTCATTATGTCGAAAGGTAAAAGCAATTCTAGCCGAACTGAAATATTTGTGTACACCAGAGTCAAGATTCCCTAAACATTATATGGTGCGTGTGAGGTAAGTCCTAATAGCCCTCCTAGGGACTGATAGAAAGTGGAGCAGATCCTATACATTGAGAGCATTAATATATATCTTTCCCTCACTCTCAAGGAGGCCAACTGTTCCTCAAAAATTAAAATTCAAACAGTACTAATTGATTTACATCTCCTTTGCCATTAAAGGTTAGTACACTGAAATAAAAACAATATTATATGAAATAAGATTCACTTTTGCTTAAATGAAGTTGTTAAAACAACAATTTCTAGATTGAAAAAAAGACATTCTAGTTAGTTAGATGCATGGATGTAACCACCCATGTTTTCACCCAGCAAGTTCTTTAAGAATTAGTTACACATGCCAAAAAATACATAATACCACTAATAACCAATATTGACAGTATATGTTATTATTGACAGTACAATATGACCTACCATCATCATCACGAAAAACTTGAGCAAAAGACACATCTCCAGCCTTTCTCATATGATCCTGAAAATATGCAATCATAAAGATCCTAAAATTATAACTCCACCAAATTTCTTAACCCAAACGTGTAAACTTGGGGGAAACAAGGCATAACTAACCTTGAGATCTTGCCATGATGCTGAAGAGGGCAGTCCACGCACAATGACTAGGAGTAAGAAAACATATAGCACAGGTTAGTTGCCCTCAAGAACTGCATTTATGCCAACATAACTGTGGACAATATCAAATAATCCCAACATTCCAGTTGCAACTGTGGAGCATGGTAGCCCTACCTTCAACAGTGATTTGGCAAGGCTCCAATAAAATTCGAAGTAGGATTAGTTGATGATAAGTCATGATTAAAACTCAGAAAAAAACTTGGGGGACATTTGCCAAGGTTTCAAACAAACTCTTTTCCTCCCATGCTTTCTATAATTTCTTAGGAGTAAACCTGCTTCAATTTAAAACTGACCGAGTTTCCTTCTCACCTGGTCTAGAGTCGAGCAAAGTTTTAAAACTGAAGATAGAAAATGAAATGTACCTCGATATTCAGAATGCCTGGAATTTCCAGTTAGTCTGCCAACATTTCCACTGGCATGGCTATTACGACGATCCAATGAAGAAGAATGTCCTCTCCCACCATGGGCAAGTTCAACCTACAAAATGAAGATAATAAAAACTTGCACATAAATAATCTTCAGTTAAAAACTCTACAAAAAAGTTCCTGTTTACCCGTAAACGGTTGCCATCAAAAGGATAACCATCCCTCCCATAAATGGCATCTTCAGCATCCCGAGCATTTTCGAACTACAAAATGGAAATTGTAACACTTAAGAACTATAAAATTGATAAAGAACCATATAAGAATCTTAGAAAATCATTCTGACACTTAAGTGAGGAAATATACCTCTACAAAACAGTAAGCTGGAGGGCGAGGTGGAATCTTCAACTCAATATCAATGATGGGCCCATACTGGAAATCAATGGAAACAAAAAATAGATGACAAACTACATCAAAGGACACCAATTCTCTGAAGGACCATCAAAAGAAAATAAAAGATCTCAAGTAACTCATGCATAAAATGAAGGATGACTAAAAAAGCCAAAGCATCCAAAATAGTAAAAAAATAGATTAGATATGTACAAAATTGTTTCCAATAAAAGATCACAAGCAGCTAAAGACTGAAGTGTATATGGTTCCATTGGAAATTTTTGTCCAAAAAGAAGTCCTGCTCAGATCAGAAATTGTAAAGACAATTAAAAAGGTTGAAATCCATTCTCTATCATGTCATATTTCGAGGGTGTCACCCATAGTTAAACCCATAATTAAATATACCACTTTATGAGACAATAAGTGACATAAATAGGACTAACCAGGGACAAGTTTCACATGTTTATCTGTTTTGAACTATAACAAACATCACAAAGCCAACATTTTTATCTATACTAGTATGGAACAATATAAAACATAATGCCCGCTTCAAAGTATAGTTAAGTCAAAAGAATAAGCTAAACATTGAATTTCTAAAATAGAATTACAGAAGTACAGAATAAAAGTTCAATATAGACCTTGTGGAATAAATCTTCCACTTCCCATTCTCGGATATCCCCTGGCAGGTTGCCAACAAATATTGTTCGAGCAGCACGGCCACTCATTGTTACCAGTAAAAAGCCTCTCTAGTGCACATGTATTGCTGCACAGAAAATTAAAGTAAATAACACCGAAAAGACACAAGAAAGAGAAAAGTTCAATGCATAACAATTTTAATAGCTCAGCACCCATCACACATTGACTACAAGATATTTGAACCAATGCCAAAACTATGAAGCGAACCAATATAGCAATCCATGATGTGACTGGTGCTCCACTAGCTCCATTGATTTTTTTCCACCAAGATGCCCCAAAGCAATCTTAGATTGAAACAAAAGTGACCCTATTAACCCCACTCTTCTGCAGTTTGCGGGGATATGATCATGCCCATATGCAAGAAATACACCCACAATTTCTCCAAATTTCTCCCACTCAATCCCAATCTCCCTAGAAGCTCCTCAATGTCCAAGTGCCTCGCATCTAACATACACAAAGTGATTATGTTATGGGAAGTAATAGAGTTTACAAAAGAATAACTTAGTTACCTGTTTCTTCATACAACCACCTCAAGAGGTAACTTGTGAAAATTATTTTTCAGTTGATGTTGCTCAGTATTTTTTTCTCAAGACAGAGTAAGTATGCACACTAATAAGTGAATAGATAAAAACCACACAATATTAGATATAATAGTTAAAGATATGTGGCCTAACATACAAACAACATGCTATATATGGTAATTTCAAAAATTCCACAACATAATGAAATGGTTGCCACCATGAGAATATATACCGAGAGAAGTCTCAAAATCAGATCATATGACAAAATTTGGTTTGAAAATTACATCATATACTACAGTCCATAAAGTGAATATGTCCATAAAGTGAATATGTGCATAAATGCTCAAAATCACTCTTAAAGATTCAAGCATCAAAACTGTGTTAGCACAATTAAAGCATATGAATGTCATGAAATCTTATGCAATAACATGCGCATGCAATATTGTCTTTTCTCAAGGCATACTAAGTATGCACACTAATAAGTGAATAGATAAAAACCATACAATATTAGATATAATAGTTAAAGATACATGGCCTAACATACAAACAACATGCTATATATGAGAATTTCAAAAATTCCACAACATAATGAAATGGTTGCCACAATGAGAAGATATACCGAGAGAAATCTCAAAATCAGATCACTATGAAAAAACTTGGTTTGAAAATTACATCATATACTAGAGTCCATAAAGTGATTATGTGCATAAATGCTCAAAATCACTCTTAAAGATTCAAGCATCAAAACTGTGTTAGCACAATTAAAGCATATGAATGTCATGAAATCTTATGCAATAACATGTGCATGCAATATTGTCAGTTTCAAGCCCCTCACAAGAGGATGCACCAAATTGATTATTCAATCATTATTGAGAAAGTTGTGTACCATTACTATCGATGTATGACTGCAACATTACAAATTTACCCTCATAGTTGTCAGGTGCGGGTGCGTTCCCGGGAGAGGGCACGAGAGCTGGCTCATCAAGACCGTGGATTGCTGGAAGCTCCATGTGGTTAGGATCGTCATCCGTTCTATCCTATATCAAGGGAGAGCGATCCTTGTCACAGGGAAGTGCAATTCCATGAGGAAGGAATCACAATAACGAGTCTTAAGGCATTGCGAACGATGCGTGGGTTCACAGTACCAGTGGGCACAAACCTGAATCAGTGCATATGAATCAGTATCGAATAGAGGAAACATCATATGCACTGCATCATGCACTTGAGAACCGCAGTTCAAACCCTCTGGGAATGAGGATTCGCGTTCCATCCAAGATCCCTAGCTGGAATCGTGAGATCGAGGTTCTGGAGCGGATCCGTGACCTTTCCTACAAGGTTCCAGCAGCTATGCTTACCCTTCCAAGCATTAGTACAAATGCCATGCCATGCCATGCCTTTATAAGCCCATGCACATCTTCAGGCTGTGGTGCATCAGAGACAGACAATCGTGCGATTGAGGTTCAAGAGTGGAAATTTTTGAAAATCACACCTATCAGCTGCTTGAGCATTCTTCATGCATCCAATCTTTAGCCTCCATTACGGCAAGTAAGGCATCAGGGACAGACAAACTCCTGGCGACCTAGTAGCTACATGTCAATGACTTTGGGAAGTCAATGACCTAGTACCTTACCTCCTGACCTTGACCCTACCAACCATCTTCCCCTCCCTCCTTCCGAGTCTTCCGAGCCAGACTTTGGGAAGTAGGTTATTCAGGAATGATTTGAACAAGGTCATTAGAGAGCTACTATTAAGCATACAATGCTCAAGCTTACCTTTTCGCAGAAGTACTCAATCAAAGTTAATGCAGGCTACAATCCAGGTGGTATGGTAGCTCACTTTAGAGAGTAGGAGGGTAGCATTATAACACTTTGTATATGTTGTATGAGAAATATCATGCAGAAAACATTCCGGTAGAGCTATGGAATCAATTTGATGCTCCTACCTGCTAGTGAGTATCCATCATAAGAGGTCCATTATCAAGTGTCACGATTTTCAACAAATCAAAAGCTTTTAACTCTCAAAAAACAAATTAAAAGCTTTTACTAATTGGAGTTTGGGGAAGTGAAGGGGGATTCTGAAGTGGTCTAATAGCTCTATTTTAGCATAAAAATCAAGGACAACACAATGGTTAAGAATCCTAGAGTCCTTTTTTATTTTGTGCATCTGATGTAAGAAAAGTCAATAGACATGAGAATAAGACGGCACATTTCCACTTGGCACGATCTGAACAAAGTTCTTCTAGTGTCACTGCCTTCATTTGACTAGTTACTATCAATACAATTCTTAACCTTGCAGGTCATTGGCTTTGGTGTGTTTTACTTTAATACATGGATGCATAGGAGATGACGGACTATCTCCAAATATGATGTAGCTTCACATATATATTATGGAGCATGTACATGCCTTTCTTGGAAGGTTTCTTGGTTTAGTTCCTTGGAGAACTTGAAAGGAAAGATGATAATATTTTTGAGAGTCAAGAATGTAAAAATGTGGAGCAGGGATGGTGATGAGAAGAATTACAACCTCATCAAGTGGGAGAAAGTATGCATGTCCAAAAATAACATGAGTTTGGCAACAGGAGACTAATAAGAAAGATGTGGTGATGCTTTGCCTACCACCAGGGCCACCTATGGCGCAATGTCATAGCTCATGGATATGGCATAGAAGCAACAGGCTGGGTAGTCAAACCCCAAGAACTTCCACCAGAAATTACTCAGGGGCGTGGAAAAGAATCAGCCAAGTCTGATTGGATTTCCACAAACACATATGCTTTGTAGTGAGAAAAGGGAACCATAATAAGACCCTGTAAGGACCTTTGGATTGCACAAATCCCCTAAATTATCCATTTCCCAGATTATTTCATGTTCCATCAGACCCAGATGTTCCCACCTCTAGCATTGATGAGAATATGGATGGTGCTAACATCTGGAGAACCCATTTTGACGAAATCTAGATGATGAGGAGGCTAGTGATCTGGAGCCCATGTTATTATTATCTTAGAATTTCTACCTCCCAGGTTATGGAATAGACATGGCATATGGAGCCTGGACGCCACAGGCATCTTCGCAGTTTCTTCCTTGTACAAAGCCCTTAATCAGTCCTGCGTTGCCCTTCACATGCACACAGAGCACGGTCCACATGATGCCCTCCAAATGTACAGGCTTTCAGCTGGTTGGTTATATCTGATAGAGCCACAGGACATAGACCATATTCGACATAGATGTATCCTCACATGGAAGAGATGTATCATGTGCAAGGATGCTGAAGAGTCTGTCAAACACCTCTTCATGCATTGCAGGACAGCAACCTGCATTTGATCACCAATGACTGAAGTATTTCGCATACAATGGGCTGCACCCACATTAGTTGAACATCTATTTCTACATGCAGTCTTACCCTACACAGCCTACTTCCCATATGTTGGATCTGTCCTTTGGAGGTTAAGCATTCAGGCCACTGTCTGGTGCATCTGGACTGAATCAAAACCTTCCAAGGGCTATCTACTCAAGCAAATGCCACAGTAGACAGAATGAAAACTACCACCATTCCATGGGCTTTATCACAAAATGAGTTCAAGCGATATTTGGCTACAACCCTCAACAACAATCAGAAAATGGCTCCCACAGAGCTCCCAAATCTTCCCATTGGACTCCACTTCCTACGAGAACAAAACAATCAAGCTATACTTCAATATCAGCTCCTAGGGTAACCCATGGCAGGCTGGAGTAGGGGTTCCAAAAAACCACCTAGGACAATGGCCGCTATCTTTTTCAGGGCTGGCTAGTTTGTGTGATGCAACTCAAGCTGAAGCAATGGCCCTCCTAACTAGAAATATTTCACACAGTATAAGCAACTTTGATGCAGCCCAGAATATTGCTCTCGAGTATCCAGATAAGAGAGACAAGTTTAACTGCAGAAAGGCAAAATAGTCATTAAATATGTCCTTTTTATGTCTTTTATTTATTTCTTGAGTTCTTTTATTCACTTAGGGGCATTAGTAATTTCTGAAGTCATTTATATCTTTTTATTCACTTAAAGTCTTTTATAATAATTGGTCATGAGTAGATTAGGTGGGATGGAGATGGGTGAATTTTCAATGACAATAGGTTTACATCAAGGATCAACATTGAGCTCATACCTCTTTGTCTTAGTTATGGACGACTTAACTAGGCGCCTACAAGATGAGGTATCATGGTGGATATTGTTCGCAGACGACATGGTTTTGATTGATGAGACCCAAAACTGCGTCAACACAAAATTAGAAATTTGAAAGGATGCTCTAGAATCTAAAGGTTTTAAAATTAGTCGGATAAAAACAGAGTACAGGGAATGCAAGTTTAGTAATAGTACAAGTAGAGATGAGGAAGTAGTTAAGATTGACAAATAACAAAAAGTGTGCACTTTCGATATCTTGGATCGATAATGCAGGAAAAATGGTGAGGTCGAGGAAGATGTTGCACATAGAATTAGAGCTAGGTGGGCGACATGGAGACGTGCAACCAGAGTTTTATATGATCGCGGCATATCAATGAAGCTGAAGAGCAAGTTCTATAGGACATTTTTTTTTAATGTAAGTTCTATAGGACAGTTATGAGACTAGCTTTACTTATAGGGCGGAAAGTTCGGCACTCAAAAACAACATACCTATAGAGTGAGTATAGCTGAGATAAGGATGTTGTGATGGATGACTGGCCAGAGAAGACGGGGCAGAATTCAAAATGAATACATTCAAGAGAATGTAAGTATCGTACCAATAGGCGATACGATGAGAGAAAGCAGACTTAAGTGGGCTGGCCATGTGTGGCGCGGACCTGGAACACTGTTAAGAGGTGCAAGTTAGTTTAAGTAGAAGGCTAAACAAGGGCAAGAGGTAGGTCCAAAGGACAAGGTTGGAAGTAGTGAGAAAAGATATAGGGACTTTTG